CAGAAGAAAAGTTAAGCAACACGCAGAATAAAGTAAGAGATAAAGTCGTTTGTTTTATGCACGAAAAAGTCAGAAAAAACTGTTTGACAGAAGTACTCACAAATATTGTTGGATTCTATCACAAAAATGAAAATAAAATCTAAGACTTCTTGATTTTTCGCTGAGTTGAAAGCAATAGCAGTCGAGAGGCTCAAAATGGAAGTTCTGCTCTATAACAAGTTGTAGTAGGTTAAGAAAATCGACGGTTTCCGAGAAAATCCGCATTTTTATTTTGCAGAAGAATATAGAACAGTTTACGATCACTTAGGGGATTTTGCGTAAAAGCAGTTTTTCGTTTTTCGTATTCTGCACTTTTTTCATAGCAAGGACTCTTCCACTTTTTCGAGTCAGGATTTTTATTTCAGCTATAATAATAGAATAACTTCTATTAACCTTGATTTTTTGATAGAAGGAATTTTTCACATGTGTATCTTCTTTTCAAGCAACTTCTATGATTTTTTTTTCAAAATGAAAATACTGCATTCTCATAACTCGAAATTTTTGTTTGTGTTTTAGACCATGCAATCCTGCCCAGAACGATTTGTATCCATTTTCTACTCTATCGATGAGACATTCGGACAAGACACCATAATCAACGTTCTCAAGCTCGTCAGTTTTACTTCGCTTCTTTGTGCTTTATCTTTGTTGATTACGTCAAACATATACAATCAAATTTTCCAGGTCTTCCGAAAATTCGCTTATTCTGTAACCAGCATCGCTGACTGGCAACAAGCACTTGTAGACTCTACTGGCAATTATTATGCAGGTTAGTCTAGCCTATAAGAATTTCTGAAAAATTGAAAAACCATTGGTGAATTTCATGGAAATATCGACAGCATTAACTTATCGATTATTGCAGGACAAATGCTATCGGAATGGTTCACACGAAAAACTCGTCCAATTTTGCATCTGCAAGTAAAGTCACTAACACTACAGTTCGAGGTGGGTATTTCTTAGTTCGAGTGTTTCAACAGTAAGTTGCAAATTTTTTAAGCAAAAAGTAAGAAAACTCTAGAACAAATTGATCGTAGAAAAAAACACGCTATCGTATCAAATTTTCAGCATAGATCTGGAAGACCAAAGATTATATTTTTGGAAAAATTATGTTAAGAATTTATATATATCCCGAATCACTTGTTTTTAGCAACTAACCGATGAACTCTGGACAGTTCCCGTTGAAGTAGCAGGTTCATCCGGTATACAACTGGTCGCAGTCACGGACAAGACCGTAACGCTACCGTATTCTTCGCTGGACTACGTCATTGCTGATCCACGGCGGAAATCTGGCGCTATGATTGTGCAAGATGTAGGTTTTTCGTCCTTTTTTGAGAATTACGGTAGGATACAGTATTTGCCCTTCCAGGTTGATTCTTACGTACGAATGATTCGATGCTGGGATGATTCACGCTGTCCGGCCTCCCACGAGGCTCTTCGGGGAATTATTCGGGATTTGGGAGCAGTGGCCCTGACCAATAAGTTGGCAGCTCCCCAAATTCACGATGTACCAAAGTGGAAGGCAGTCTTCAAGGTGGGAATTTTGAATATATTAAAGATTCTCTTAGAAGGTTTAGACTGCACAAAAATGATGTGAGACGATGAAAAATCAATATTTTATCAGCTGCAGTTCGTAAAATCAAAACTTTATTTCCTGCAGTCTGAAATAATTTTGTTGCAGTTTGAAAAATCAATATTTTATTTTTGTGCCGTCTGAAAAATCAATATCCAATATCTTGTAGTCTGTAAATCAATATTTTACTTCTTGCAGTTCGTAAAATCAATATTTTACTTCTTTCAGTTCGCCCGAATGCACCGTATCCTCGACGGCAACGCAGCATGCTGCGCAGAATACGCAATTTCACGGGCCGCAGACATCGCCTGCACTTGGGTTGTACGAGACACTTGTGAAAAAATCGCATTGATTAATACAGTAGCCGGTGTCTAACATTTTCCGAATTACCGTATTCTCATCTCTTTGACGCGTTGTACAGTTTCCTCCTCTGCGTCTCTGCCCGCTGGTCTCTTTCAGTTTTGGACACTTGCCAAGTCTTTTAGCTCTCTGCAGTATATATCGTTCCATGAAAGACCTCGATTAATATTTTTGAATTTTGAATGTATGTCACCCCCGTGTTGGCATAATTTTTGCATCAATAGCAACGACCAATCACGCGACTAGATGGTCATTGGTCAATACTTTTTTAAGCGCAGCTAGGTGTGTAATAGCTTTATGCAGAGCATAGTATGATCCCAAATAAGATAGCAGAATTACCGTATCTCGAATGTGCCTAATGGTTATATTGGTTTGCCATAGATCAAGAATATTGTCTCCAGTGAGCGAGACTAAGCGTTTGTGCCTTTGATTACGGTTGTATGCATGTATGTATCTTTTTCTAAGACTTATTTTGATCTTTTAATTGATAAAAATAACTTCTATGCTTGTTGTCAGTTCTGTTGACGTAAATGCCATATTTAAGTAACCATGATCGCAAATAATCACAACAACGAAGTTTTAAACCTTTGCACAGTATCTGTATAGTTACAGCTGATAATCACTAAGACGAAGTAAGTCTGAATATAGACGTCGTTGCCGCGATTTTCTCATCAGAATGAATATGCCACTTAGCGGCTTTAATGAAAAGAGACCACGCTTGAAAATAGAGTTAAAATACTGTGGAGAAGCCTACTTAGACAATTCACTGGAACTTTCGCAGGACAAACAAATTTTGTAGCGGTTCCGCAGGATTTTGTTTACTACTGCAAAAGTGGAAACGTTGAAAATGGGAACTTCCGCAGAATTTTCACGTCAGACCGGTTGAAAACGGAGACTTCCGCAGGACTTCTTACAAATCGCTGCGGAACTTCCGAAAAATGCCAGCGGTTCCGCAGCACTTTGACATGCCAGTACTTCAGCACGGTTTTGAATGTGTTGTCTCGTGTGATGTTGCCTCGCCAACAATTAGAGTACATTATCAAACATATCAGCCGTAGTGCAGAGGATAGTAGGTGAGCCTCACAGTCAATAGAGTAAGGTTAAAATCTCGCTTAGGTATTCTCTTCGGCTGTTGTGGTTCGCATTCCTCGGAACTTCCGCAGCACGTTTACGAACTTCCGAAGGTGATCCGGCGGAAATTCCTCAAACGTTCGCGGAAGTTCCGGCCAGTTTTCTGAGTAGATACTATTTCATTGCTGTAGAAATCAGTATCGCATCTGACACTGACATTGTGCTCAAAAAAATATCAGTTCTTCTGAGGCGTTGAGATGTAACCTCCAACAACAAATCTTTGGAAGATAAGATGTAAAAAGACAAGAGTGCTGGCGTATTTGACTGATTCATTATCCATCAGAAACGGTGTTTAGGAATGCGCAGTAGTCTTTTTTATGTGCTCCTAGTATATCAACTCTTGAATTCGTCCTTGAGCTGCTTTCATGGTGTTACAACGTTGTTAATTCAGCATTTTAATTTAGGCTTTTCGAATATTGTCACCCCGAAGCTGAATTTTGCTTTTTTCCTACATAACAGAAGCATACTTGATGCATTAGGTTGATGCAAATTTTTTTTTTGCTTAAAAATGCAGTGACTTCCCTGAACCTAAATTCATGGTTCTCCTAAAATAGGAAAAATTGCAATTTACGATGGCTATTCAAAGCTTATCCAGCATATTCAGCTTTTCTCCACCTAGCCGTGGAGGAAAAAGCTTTCAAAACGGCACATCCAATTTCGCAATTTTGTAGGCTTGCAATAATATTAAAGCGTCGCTAGTTGATCCGAAAAACCTGCAAAATTTTCTGACTAGCAGTTCATCCACACATTACTATGGCAGAATTTGATCTCGCAAATGTAAATAAAAAATGAAAAATCTAATACGGCACTTATTTGACGAAAACATAGTTTAACGCGGAAAAAAACTTCAGGTAAAAGCTATAGGTCAGATTCTTAGCCTCGCGCTGAGTTTATGTGAAATATGCGGTGAGGGGGGTTTTCCCTGCAGAAGAAACTTTTTTACGATTTTTTTTTGTTTTTCTGGTTAAAACCCGTCACAGTGATGTGTGATGCATGGACTACTGCTATGTACGGAAATATTTCAGACTTTCAAGGCTAGCTGGCGGCAACATAGTCCTTTGAGACCACTCAAAATCGCAAAATTTGAGTGCATTTTTAGAAATTTGTGTCGCAGAAATCTACTTTTAATTAAATGCGCATAGTGCAAGTATTCTTCTATTTTTTGAGATTCAAAATTATTAAAATTCCCTTTGAAGTAAGAAGAATTTTTGCAGCAATTTAGCGAATACATTGTGTGAAGTCGCGTTTCCATGATCAAATTTATCGATGACTAGCCTGCTTACCTGGCTCCGCTCGGCCCTGTCAAAACACTGTAATAAAGGTGCCATCCCTATCCCTGTACAGCCTTTCCTTGTGACCACTTCTACACTTCATCCCGTTCCCTGTGTTGTTTTCAGAATCGCCATGCCCACTCCCCCCCCCCCCCTGTGCCATCTCCCAGCCCTGGAGCTCAAACTTTGCAAAAAAAATCGATAAAATCGATAAAAGTAATCGATAATTTTGAAAACTAATATTGTATTCGTAATCAACATACTCACTTACCCCCTTGTGCTAACTCCCAGCCCCGTATGTGAACAAAAAATCGATAAAAATTGATAAAATCGATATCGATCGATGACGAAAAGTAGCCTATGACACCCGCCGGGGCCCGAAGTGTATGTGTGCCAAGTTTGGTCCGGATCGGTTCAGAATTGGAATTTTCTATTCGGAACATACGTACAAACAAACATACAGACAGATATACAGACATACAGACAGACAAACAGACATTCAGCTTTATATATAAGATGTCCTGTGTTTTTGCTTTCGGATTGTCCAAACCAATAGTCACTTTATGCATAAATTATCTGAAAGATTTTACCACACCGTAACGGATGAGTTGCGCATTGCGTGATCGAGCTGTTCAAAAAACAGCCATTCCCGATGGCCTCAGCAATCTCTCACGTTGTGCTGGCCTAAAATAACGCAAGTTGAAGCCCAAATCACTTCGCTTCCCTCCCATACAATACATACCTTCTACTCAATCGAGCTTTTGGGAGGGCTTTTCTGTTTAGGGGCGGTGGCGCCAGAGAAGCTCCTGTCGCAGGAGCAGGTGCTAGCGAGACCAGAAAAGACTGTCTTCTTAGTGGTAAATGGAAGGGATTCACCCGGAATGTAGAAATGGGGCGCCCATTGCGTGAAAGACGTCTTGTAAAACCGCAAGTGGCTAGGCGAGTGTTGAGATTGGTTAGTGCGCAACGTCTGAATTCCAAAGATATAAAAAACGCCCACTTCGCGGAGAAATTTTCAGAAAAATGTATTATTGATTCTATCGATTGACAACGTAAAACGCACCCGCACGTCTGTTTACAATTTTCCCACATATATTGTGGATTAGAATTACATTGACCTTGACTAGCCCATGCCTGACAATTCGAGCTGAAGTCGACGCAAGCTGAAACATCAATTTGAATCTCCCGCGCCCATACCGAATTATTGATCGGTGGGCGTGGTCTACCCACTTTGCGAGTTCCATAGCGGCGGTGGCTGTGATCCTCGGCAGAAATTGCAGGATGGCTGACAGTACTGATTCATGTAGGCTGTTTGACTGGTACAGTATCCACGAGCTGCCCAAGCAATACAGCAGTAATGTTGATTGAGACATGTAAATTGTCCTAGACGTATTATTGATTTTATTGATTTTTCTAGAGCGACCAGATGACAGGCGAAGGCGCCTACCTGCTGGAGGAGGTCGTTGCGTTGTTGCTGGGTTGCCTAGAAGTCGAAATACTTTATTTTGATAGAGTAGATAGGTAGAATCATGCTCAGCTTCTCCCCCCCCCCCCTCCCGCCCAAAATAACTTACCCCCTCCTTGACCACAGGCTTGTGCTCTCGTAGTTCCACATAAATTACATGCTTGTCGACAGTTTTCTGTCATCCAAGCGGGATTATTTTGACATTCCCCACGAGCAGCCCATGCTTGACATGTGGGATGACGATTTGAGCATTCTAAAACACATTTTTTTCAAATTCCTTGAAAATAATTTTCTTGAGCGCTTACCCGTATTGAGATTGTAAGTGGTTGGACGACAGATACCGCAACTGGCTCGGCACCAACTGTTCATATAATTGGGATTTCGTTGACACTCCCCTCTAGCAGCCCATATAGAGCAGCATTGTTGCTCATTGAAGCAAGTCTAAAAATTTAGATAAATAATTTTGAGGTGAGGGGAGGGAAAATAGCGACGTAGATGCATTTAGTAACTACTCCCCATTTTTTGTCCATTTTTCAAAAACACTTCATCAATTTAATGATAGAAATTTTTTTAAAGGTCTCGGGGTGTAGTCCCTTTTGCACCGTTCGCGTGCAACGCTTTTTTAGCCACGTGCGGCGCTGCAAGAAAATGGACGAGTTACATCACATCAGCGGATAAGCAGCATGATTTTAACCCATTGACGACGATGTGGACCACCGGTGGCCCACGCACTTTCTGCTGCCAGGGACGATGTGTACCACCGGTGGCCCACACCTCTTGCAAAACCATACAATTTGTAGGTCTAGTATTTTCCCCACATATCAATATTTTTTCCAAATTTTTACACTTTTGGGACCCGTAAAGCTTCATCTTTCAGGAAAAGTGGTTTATAGTTGTTTATTACAAAACAACCTTGCATTTCGTAATCAACCACAAAACCTTCCCACACCGAAATGTTGCGCAAAATCGCGTCGTCCCACAGCGCCGCCTCGCAAAATTAGGCGTCGTCGTCAATGGGTTAAGCGTGTCATACGTTTTTGCCAAACCTGATTATCGTGTTAAACACGTTAGATATACAAAAATAAACGAGTAAACTTGCGCGCAATGTGGTCCGGCTCCCTGCTCTGCACAAAACCAATAAATACCTTGGAAAAACTCTTTGAACAGCTTTTTGTGGCGGCGCGCCTCTTATTGGTCAACACGCCAACTGCGATTGGCTAGGCTTCGAACAGGGCGGAGCAAAGGTGAAAGATCGTACATTCACTTCGATCACTTTTGTCATTTATGTCGTCCAATATGATTGTGGGATGCTATAGACGCTTCAAACCATGAAGCTTATCCATTGACTATGCGGTGCAACTCGTCCACTTCCACCAACATTATCCACTCGTAACCATGCTAGAGCTTACCTCTTGATTTTGACCAGCTGGAGTTGTAGTAACAATAGGTGGTTGAGTGGTGGCAGGAGGATTCTGTAAAAAAATATATTGGCATCCAAACTTCAATTTTTTCATAAAATAAAAAATTCTTAGTGTAACCAAAACTGATTTCGATGATCAATAGATTGATGGTAGTAGGGTCCGAAAGGCTTTTCTCCCTAACAAGAACACAGGTCTTTTTCGCTACGTTTAAGGCGGCGGCTCGGCAGAATTTCATTTTCCAGTTTTTCACCTTTTCGGGACCTTCTCACCATGAGAAACCCATATCTGGACTTTTCCGCGCATGAAAATGGCGAAAATGAGCCTTTTTCAAAGCTTTTCAGGTCCGCATTCAATGCAGGTACGTCGAAGGTCTGTGGCATTCCGCCTCTCCTTTCAAACTCCGCCCATTTACGCGTATTTTACACTGAATGCGGACCTGAAAAGTTTCAAGAAAAGCTCATTTTCTCCATTCTCATGCGTGGAAAAGCTCAGATATGGGTTCCTCATGGCGAGAAGGTCCCGAAAATGGGAAAAACTGGAAAACGAAGTTCTGCCGCTCCGCTGCCTTCAAGAAAAGGACAAAATGGAATAGCTTGTATGCTGGGTCCTAAGACAAAGACAACGGGTTACCTGATTGGATATACAACGATTATTTTGACAAGTACTGAGATAGCATCGATCCTCATCTAAATTTATCTTAATGATCCCTTAATTAGCAAAATATTTTATAATGCTTACTTCTGGTATAACCTCCACAGTTTCCATTAACAGCTATTTTTGCAGCACATCTCGGAGCACCATGAGATAAATCGCAGAAGAGGAATCTGAGTCAATTTTGAAAAAAAAGTACTAGGAAAAATCAAAATTAATTGACCTTGATCCGCATCCGGCAGGGTTTCCAGCCGAACAAGTAGGTCTTGCTTGGAAAGTGTAGAGATTATCTAAAGCAGTAGATTCATAGGCTCTCTGAAATTCATCTAACCTCTTATAATTTTTGTAATTTTGTAATTTCTTTACGTCTTTTAGTGAATGATTTCTTTTACATGATTTTTATTCTGAAATCATTTACCCAAAATCTTCAATTTGCTTCATGTTAAATTGACATTATCTAATTGGCAATCGATGCCGCAATTGCACACATATCCAGCAAGTTTACGACAGGTGTAAACATGATTTTCGCTTTTTTCTTCGAATTTTTCTTAGCTTTTCCTGTGCTTTTCTCTCATCCTAGAGTGCAACTCGGCACTCCCCCCCCCCCTTCCCCCTGAAACCGTAGTCTGATGTCTCCAGCATGTGAAAACGAAGAATGAAATAAATGTAAAAAATTCAAAAATCTATAATAAACGCTTGCGCGTAAAAAATCATGTGGAAAGCTCAGAGAGATAGTTTCTAAAGCTTCTCCAAAGAGAATTTTCAGTTCTAATGCTGATAAAGAGTAAAAATGGAAAGAGTTTTGCGTCAAGCTGACACTACTGAATTTTCACTTGCGTACTATTTTTTTTGTAGTTGGAAAAAAATTGTTACTCATGGTAGTTTCTTTGTTTTGCCAGAAGTATAGATATTAATGCATAAATCTACATGTAAAAGTTTAATTTCGATATGCATTTATTAAAAAATCTTTTTTTTACCTGTATAAGAGTTCAATAATCCATCACGGTTGGTCATAGGGAAGAACGGTTGCATAATATTATTTCCATAATGAGCTTCACTGCTACACTGTGGATTATTTGGTGGGTACTGCGACTCACGAACAGCTCTGCTCTAAAAAAGTTCGCTGCAAATAAGGTAGGGAAGGGCTGAAAAATCTCATATTTTCAAAAATTATTATTATTGAGATTATCATCAAATACTTGCTTTTTTAGCTCAGCTTGTTAGAAGTTTTTAATAGTTTCACAGTCTTCATGTGACATTCAAGCAATTGAGCTGCGTTCAGAGCTGCCGCGTGCCCGCGCCATGCCAGCGCGATCGATCGATACTGGGCGTGCCCACATTGGCACTGGCATGGCGCTGGTACGCGGCGACTTTGAACGCAGCCTACACTGAAGATGACCTAAACGAAAAAACGTTTCTACTGCAGTTTTGCAAATGAGGTTACCTTTTCTGCACTAAAGTTTTCCGGGTTTTATAATTTTGAAGAAATTTATATTATGAGTTGCACTAATAAAAAATTTACCTGTCGAGCTTGTCGCCAATTTTCCCAAATCAAATCGACAAAAGAGTGATGGTTCCAGAAAATTGGATCATTTGTTGATGTTGTTGGCGTAAACATGTCACCTAAAAACAAAATTTTGGCCATTGTTAAGCTTTACTTTTAATGATAAAATAGCCTACCTCCTATCCAGATATGAGGATTTCCATGTGAATACTCGAATGCTGCCCAGTTTGCTGGGTTAGGGCAGCCCTAGTGGATAAAATATCAATTTGTTCAAAATTTTCGAATATTTGACCTACATTGCTCGGAGCAGTATACGCAAGCACTTGAGTGTAATCATTGGTATTCAATACGGCAGTGATATCGGATTCCACGAATAGTCTACCTTGTGACCCAATACTCCTTCGGAAAACTCTCGAATTCTAGAAAAACAAATTTTCCGTAATTTACCAAAGGTTTTCGGTAACCGTACATCTACAGTACGCCATCCTCTGAATGCTCCAGTTGCAATCAAACCATCCGGTGATGTTCGACCTTGCAATTCATTCGTGAACATAGACGATTCGGTTGGATTTGGTATTGTCGAATCCATTGTGGAGTCCCAGTATGGTAAGGCTACTGAAGGATCAACTCGACGCAAAGCGATTTCGATTCTGAAAACTATGTTATGGGAGACCAAATAGTCCGACACTGCGGTTCATTTTGCACAAAATTTGTTGACTTTGTGAGAAGTTGCGAAAAACAGTGCTACAGCTTGTTAGGTTGGATCTTAATTTATTTTTGGTAAACTACGAATTCGAGATTTGAGAATGTTAAAGTCGATTGCACGAAATTGCCCGGGTCGCTGAAGGCTGAACGCAAGCGAGCCTGTCTGCAACGCGGCTGCCGAGTATGGGCTATAACTCATGCGCGCTAATGTCAATGTTAGCCGGCAAGAGACCGCTCGCCGGTGTTCAGCCCGGTCCATTTCGTGCAGTCAACAATATCACATTCAAATTGTATGATATTTGCGATATAGTATTTACTACTCCATCCCGGTAACTTGAAGAGCGGCGGGAGCCGGCATACTACAATTTTCTATAGGATGAATGAGCGAATATCGATGGCTTAATCCCAGTCTCTTCAATGTAAACATTCTAAAATCGAAAAAGAAATTCTACAGCTGAACGAGACAATTCTGACGTATTGCCAGTAACCAGACAGTTCCCGTAGGTATATGATAAGGGAATCGCCTTTCACAACAACAATAGATGGCAATTGTACAGCTATCAATGTCTTACCGTACACTTGCCATATTAGGACAGCGTCTAGTGTTGCACGCATACGAGTGCCGGCCAGCGCCGTGCTAGCGTCGTGTCAGAGCCCGCTTTGGGCGCTCTTCGTATTGATCGATCCAAGCTCAGGCACAGCGCACGGCGCTAACACGGGCTACGGAAGCAAGTCTAAGAGGGATTTTTTTGATACAATATTTGAAAATTTTGTATTTCCAGCTAGTTCTATTTTTTCGATTTAGCAGAAAATTTGTCCTATATAGGGTTGCAATGATGCAAAAAATGGTTTTTTGTCAAAGTCGTGGAAAATAACTGCATTGCAATGAGTGGACACTCAAAGTTTTACAGTTTCACATTCCTGTTGTAACTCTATCGTACCGCTTACAAAGGTGTTCTATAAGGCTTTACCACTCGATTTGTGATCGAAAGCTACGAATTCGCAGTGCACAGAAATTGTACATAAATCTATAAATTATCTATAAATATATGAACGCTCTGAATATCATACAAATAGTTGATAATTGGGTGGCTTAAAAGCTCGAAAAGGACTTTTTGAAGCAGCAACGGTCAAAGGGCAGGTTACGCACCGCTATTTTCGCTCTTTTCGAACACCTTGTATCCAAGTACCAAACCTCTTGATGAACTCTCGATGCCATGGTAGAAAAGCTGGTCCAGAATGTGCTCCAGGTGAGGTGACAAATGAGGAATGAATTCTTGACAAGGTATCGTAGTCACCATTGCCTTTGATAGTCCACATGGCAGTATGATATCTTAAAGGACAGAAGTAAACCCTAAGTATAATGATTTTATAGTTGAGTCATCGCACGCAGAGACAACGCGCCATTGCGGACGCTGTCTGAGTCTCCCGGATCATGCGCAACCTCTCCCATCCTGCCGTCTGCGCCTCTTCCAAAGACGTACTCTCTCAATCACACACAAGTGGCCAGTCTGTGCATGCTCTGACTCGTTCATACTTCTGCCCACCTATTTCTCTCCGCATCTGTCATCACGCGATACTCCTTGCGTAATGCACGTCCCAAGCGAGCTCCGCCGGGCAGAACACAGTTATTTCCGCCGGTACCACCAAAGAAAGTACATAGACACGCGATATCCATGCATTCATAGGCGGTTCTAGGATTTTCCGAAACAGCCAGAGTGCTTATTGCACCAGCAGCACTTCCGGGAGCTGAGACAGACGCAGTCGAGATCGTAGGCTGGTTCTGAACAGAAATCGAAACTGACTTAATTGGGGTTGGAGCAAGTTTCTGACCCTGGCATTAGCGTTCCATGCGGCTATTTGGCTACAAATGATTTGTAGGGCTTCAGTGGGTGCATTGTTACAATTCTGACAGTAAGCTGGACTTGCGAGAAGAGCCACAAAGACTAGAATTCGAGGCAGGTACTGCCAGGTCATTACCCTAAAAAGTGTAGTTTTATAACACAGTGAATCAAAGAGAAACAAATTAAAATTACAGCTTTGAAGCCAGGCTCAATCAAATGTTTCCCAATCTTTAGCATAAAAATAAAATTAATGTAGAGGAAGATCATGCAGACGAAAAAAGAATCTTCAAAGTTGCTCAAGCAACTGCTTACTTGAAATTTTAATGTGGATATAGTTGAGAAGCTGTTTGCTAACTTATTGCCCAAGCGACAGCTTTCGCGCTCCCCCCACGTGGCTAAGCAAATCATCTTCAATCTCTCGCCCACTACAGTAATCCGGAACATGTTTGAGTAGAAAGAATACGGTACTGGGTGAAACTTCGGATTTGAATCTCCGTCACTCATGAATTTTTTGAGCTGCAGCTTAAGCAAATGCTAAATGAGGGTCTTGCATACTAGATCCACATAAAAAAGAGCAAACTGCATATTTGCACTGCTATGCATGCAATAATTTCTGAAAAGCAGCATTTCTGGCCTGGAATTTTCTAAACTTTCTTATTAGCCTGATGGATACTGATCGAAAGGTTCTAACTATTCTATGCCCAAGAGACAGCTCCTAAAATTATTCTTCAACCGATAATGTCATTTATGACTCTCGACCACTACATAGCCGAGGATCTTGGGCCGATTTGAAGGAGTACGGTGCTGGACGAGAGTTCAGAATTGAGTCTTCAGTTATCAAAAATCATAAGAGCTGAGGCTTGGGCAGAGACTTGGTGAGTACTTCCAATCAGACTCCAAATAACAAATTCAAAAGTACAGCCTGCTCTAGATGTCTTTAAATGTGGCGACAGTAATCAAATTTTTGTAAAAACTTTTAAGATTCTCCGCTTGCTTTACAAAAGACATTCATACTTAGACTAGCCGTATTTCTTCATAATGAAACACCCGAAAAAGATTTGGAAATGTTAAACTTCGCCCCCTTGGCTTCAAGCAATTTATACATAAAAATTTTGCGATATTTTCAAGATTGGTCACAACAAAGCTGCAGACGAGGTGCAAATATCAGATTTGAAAATTCGAAAAATGCAATATTATTTCCCTATCGACCTAGTAATCTATGGTGGATTGGGTTCTAATTGTCAAACTCTGAATATGCCAGAATAAATTTATCTAAAAGGTGTCACAAAACGGAACAGCGTCGTTCAAGGCGTCGAACTGATCGAGTAGCTGAGAAATTGTAAAACTGGGTCGGACATGGTAAATGACATTGTTTATCGCATAATACTGCAGGCTTGTCACCAAACTTGACGATTTACAAGGTCATGCTTTGATTTGATTTGGTGTAATCTTTCAATCCGTTAGGCTTGATTAAGGCGCATCAATACCTGAGCTGTCAACAACTTCCGTGGAGATAATCATACAAAGGAAGTCAATGTCAGACTGACCGGAGCTTTCGCTGGACATTTAGAATCGTGTATTCCCAATCCTTTGTGGAACGTACTGCGGAAGTTCCCATTTTTGATCAGCAGCCTTTTGTGGAAGATGCTGCCGAAAACCTCGTTTTTGATTAGCGTAGCGTCAAAATCCTGCGCAAGTTCCAACTTTCGACGCTCAAAACCTCTGTGAAGTAAACATCCAAAATAAAATCCTGTAAAACTGCTGCAACTATTTCTCCTACGAAAGTTCCGGTGTGTTGTCTGAGATATGTGCATTACGGTACCACTACGGTAACTATTTTCAGGATAACTTTTCGTGACTGTCGAAGAAAAAATACGCTATTTTCGAAAAATCTCTTACAATTAGACAACTTTCGGTCAGAACTTGCGGACTGTGTTCCATTACTATTTTATTTACTTAATCATTCAAATGGTAAATAAGATTGTACCAAATCAAAAGATGAAAAAGCAGCTTTGCGCCACAATGTCCCTTGTTGGAAGAGTTGAGTCGTTCTCCATCTATGATATGAGTGTTGACAATCTTTTGAAATTTTTCTATTGTGTATGAATTTTCCCCAGAAATTTTCTCCTCTAGAGAATCTTCATCTTTCTGTAACACATCAAATCACTCACTACATCCAAGGGTATATCCATCGATGATTACTGATTGTGAGGACGCAGCTCCACCTTCGGGGCTCTCTTCTAAATTTTGGACATGTTTCCATTTCTTTGACAAGCACTTCTGAAATAAAATTCTCTCGATTTTGAACGTAAATAAATATGCTTAGTGGTCTATTCAGCTTTGTGAGCACACATCAGTGCACATCGCGCTTTTTAAATTTTTTGGCCCTTTTGCCCAGGTGTCATAGGAAATTCTTGAATGCTTCTCGTTATCCCTGAAAAGGACCACAAAAAAGGTAAAGAAGCAAAAGGAACGAATGGGCCCATGGACAAAGAAGTCTGGGAGAGAAGAGTAATGTGTGCATTGTGCGCAGTTGCACATAACAGATCATAAATGACTAGACTTAGCCTACAAAGAGAGGAAAGACGCAGTGAAATCGAACAATGGAGTTAAACATTTAGTTTAACAAGGAGCATTGTCTTGAGGCTTCGAGAAAGTTCGCAAAATTGTTGGCGCAGATTTAGCGCACGGATTACGGATGTGACTACCGTTTGTAGAAACCCAGTGCTTCTATCGATTTTATTGATCGTTCGCAAACTTTGAGTCACAGGGCTGAGTTGGCACAGTGGGAGCGAGCATGCCGATTAAAGCGATTGTGCACGTACACACCGCACGGGGAAGGGTGAAGTTACTACTGAAATGATCCCCGCTGGGGCTCCCCTCCCCTCCCCACGCATTCATCTTCATTATTCATCTTCATTTCGTCATCGGCAATAATTTAGGCTTTGAGGAATGCGCGTTTGGTGACAGCGCTCGGCGCACCATAAATAATATTTTTTACGCCCTATATATTTCTGCTGCTTCATGGATGCTCCTCACTTTCCCATGCTGCCCAATTCTGCCTAAATGTGTACAACAACAGAAGTCAAGATCTACTAGGGGAATGGGTGAAACGTTATGCTGCCATAAAAGAATGGGGAAGTCCCACGCTGACACTCAAATCGGCATTTACGCACATCACAGAAACTGAAAACCATGCCAGCTTTTCATGAAGGCTGAAACTATTAGCGACATAACGTCCATTACCCCAAGGGAATAATCCCCAGCGGTCATCCATGCTATGCACGAGGGGAACGCTGGAGAGGAGATCACTCCAGGGGATCTCTACTTGAGAAATAGGCAAATCTGCTAATTTTTAATTTTATCCTAAAGCAATTTATGTTGAGATAACAAGATAAGGACAACGTATCACATGATATGATAGTTACAAACTATCTTGTCATATGAACTGCAGAAATCTCGGGAATGATCAGAAACTCCTACAGATATTCGAAATCAGCGAATATATGCTCGAGTCTCTTCACCAAAAGCGAAAATAGACGAGAGAGGCAAAATTGCAAGTTACAGTCACTGAGAGAGGAACACAGCTTTCACATAATCTTTCATCAAAGTGAATGAACTGCTTTGTAATAACTGATTGAGAGCAGATTATTCCCTTCTCTAACATAACTTACACCATAAACCCCTACTCCGTTGTAAAGGATGACGATCCCCTCCCACGTGTTTTTGAGTTACTTTCGTGCATACAGGGTTCGAGTGGGGAAGGGGAAGAGATCCTTGCTGAGGCTCGTATGAGAAAATTCCATAACTGACTAGTGTCTGACGAATATTGAAAAAATCACGGAAGATGCAAAATGCTGCACACTCAGAATTCTCTTGTAGGAGTAAATCATTATAACATAATTGCGAGAAAATCATAACATGAACTGCTAAATAGACTCACACTGCTTCGAAAATCAACATTATTATTACTGACAGCAGAAAGAGTACAACGAAGCCTTAGAACCAGCAATAGAAAGAAAAAGAAAGCGAAGAAGAGAAAGGTACAATGGGAGGGGTGAGAAGAGCGAGAAAGGGACAAAGGTACGCGAAACCAGTAATCGTACATCTCGTTCCAAATACCATTCTGGTACACAAGAATTGAATGAAAATATTTTTTTTTGGGCGAGCTCTTCTAGTAGTTGAACAGGAAAGAGAAGAAGCTAAGCCTTATTTTCCGATTTTTTTGTATGGCAGATGATCCCGGCTGCTAGTCATCTTTTCTTCAAAGTTATGGTTCTTTTTTAGAAGAAGAAAAAAATTTCAAATTGTGCAGATTATCTAACCTAGCAGCATTTATCGCGGTTTCACGGCGCGAACTGCAGAAATCACAGCTTCTTATGGCAGCCTTATCTTGTTATAAGATCGTTTACATAATGCGTCAAAGCCGTGCAAACAAAAAGATGTCAGTATCAAATAGAAAACTAACTTAGTTGACAGTACTCTTTTAATTTTCCTGCCATAAAGATTGTCATTTATTTGGAAGCTTACTTTATTATAATTCCTCAAAACTTATGCTCTCAAGAAATATGACGCTCAATCCGCTTAAGTTATTTTTTTTTGCAGCGCTTAACTATAACGCTCCAAGCAAATCTACTAAGCATCGTGGAGACCTCTTTACCATTATGCGGCCAGTTTTTATTCACTTCTTCCTGGACACTTAGATTTTAGTGTAGCAGCACCAAATTACCTTACAAAGGAAGGATGTTGGTCGAAGTGACCTTTTGAGATGGTGTGTGTACCATCTTGGGTATAATACGCTAATTCCTAATTTGTTCTCCGTATCTGCGTACCATCCATGAGCGAGGAGTTATGGTGTTGCTCTAGCAATTTGGTGATTTTCTAGGATAATATTTGCTGAAATTTTACTACCTCAAATGAGGCAGCGAAGTGTGGGCTGTGTTTTTCAAAGTATTTCTTGCATAAAGTGCTCTGAGAATCCTCACAGCTCTATTTAATCGCTCGAAAATGGCCACTGCTACTTTTACCTTAATTCCAACTCTAATTTTATTTTTTTGCTCCAATAAACTCTCATAACTCATCGTCCAGTAATGTCCGCTGACAAAGAAGACAGATCTGGAATCTGCTTTTATG